AAAAAAAAAAAAAGAATCATTTGTTGAATTAATTGAGTCCAAAGGATGTCAAAAGTTTGTTACACAGTGTAAAACTTGGCTATGTTTATAAAGGACCAGCAAGAGTACATTTCAACAAGACCAAAGGGCACAGGGCAAGGGTTCTTCAACTTAAGAGTTTCCTGCTACTGGACCTCAATCCAGTCCTTTCCATACAGTAGAAGCCTGCCTCCCTTTCTTCCATGTACTTCCCAAACAACGAAGTGAGGACCTGAGTCTGTCAATGAGCCTTTATGGGGACCTGCTGGTCTGTCGGTAGAGGAGGAGTTGGTGATGAGGGAGGGAAAAAAAGGCAAGAAAACTAAAATTAACTGAGTGCTTACAATGTGTCACATACTCCTTCTTTACTCCACACAAAGAAAACCCTTTTTTATCACCATAATACAACTGAGACTTGTACAATGTAGTAACATGCTCAAAGTCACGCAGCTAATAAATGGTCGAAAAGAAGCAAGTGTCTGGTTCTTTGTGAGCTGACGAAGTTACATAAGTGCCAGATAGATGATGCGAGTTGAGATGGGCCTAAAAGACAGACAAAAGTGAGCTGAAAGAGGCAGGGGAGGGCATAATTCTACTGCTTACAAGAGCTGATGTTTATGGACCCTTTCCCATGTGCCAGGCACAGGACTAAAGCATTTGACACACATTACTTCATTGATTCTTCGTATAAACTTTATGAGGTGACGTTACTATTATCCCCACTTTGTAGAGGAAAACTGTGGCTTCAGAGAATTGACCCAACCAAGGTGAAATAGTGGGTCTGAGATATGAACCCAGGTTGTATGAGTTCATATCAGACCACCAACCCCTTCCTGAACCTCCCGCCATGATGCTGGGAGAGAACGGCGTGAACTAGGGCCCAGAGAAGGAATGAGAAAATTATGCAGAGAACGCATCCAGTGGTGTCTACTGTATGTCCGGACAAGGCACGGAGTGTGGTGAGCAGTGATAAATCACGCGGCCCCTGCTTTCTAGGAGTTTATACGGATGCAAGCCAATGAAGATACACAGGTCCAAAGAGTGCAGGCTCTGAGGACTTCCCTGGTGGACCAGGGGTTAGGACTCTGAGCTTCCACTGCAGGGGGCGCAGGTTCGATCCCCAATCGGGGAACTAAGTTCCCGCATGCCACCTGCTGCAGCAAAAAACAGCAAAAAAAGAGTGAACCCAGATTGCCTGCGTTCAAACACTGATTAACTGTGCAACGTTGGGAGCTGAAATAAAGAAAATGGTCTAATATAAATAAAGTCCTTAACACATACCTGACACACAAGCAGCATAAATAAATGTGTCTGTTATTACTCTAAGAACTAATGAAAAGCAAGGTTAGATGGAAAAGGTACGGCCAAGTCAAAGGATTATGGAAGGACAGAGGTGTTCAGTGGTATCTAAAGAATGTGCAAGCTGGGCAGGGCTGACCAAAGTCAGAAAGCTTCTGAGCAATCCATTCATGACATGATGTGAGCCCCCCGGAGACGGAGACGATAACATCGCAAGAGAAAGAAACAGACAGGGTCAGATGACGGACTAGAAATGTCACATGAAAGGCAAAAATTAACCAAAGGCGACACCAAGGGTTTGAGCTGGGTTAACTGTAAGAAATCAAACGCTAACCAGATAGAAACAGCAACAGGGAAGGGCAAACAATTGAGATCTGAAAAGGGAGAGAAGTGTAGGAAGATGAGGCAATGCATTTCCTCCTGCACCTGCTGAGTTGAACTGTACCTCTAACTGAGCCAGTAAGTGGACACAGCCTGTGGGCATCAGGAGGCCACAGCTCAAGGCCCTGAGGAAGGGCTGGCCCAAGGAAATTACCAATGACTGAGCACACGCTATGTTTATACAGTGCATGGTCAAATATAACTCTCATGTATTCTTCCGAGTCCACAGATCGGTCACTCTTCCAAGGAGTCCACAGATCGGTCTTATCATCTCCCTTCCTTTTAGGAGGAAGCTGATGTTACAGGGAGTAAGAAAGCTGCTGAGGATGACACAACTAGAAAGTGGTAGAACTGGTCTTGAGACCAGTTCATCCAACTCCAGAATCCATTGTCTTCCCACTGGGAGGCTCAGAGAGCGAAGTCTTCTCGGGAAGAGAGCAGAACAGAGTTATAACACACACCTGGCCTTTCGGCACCCCCCACCCCCCATCCCAGGCAGTCTTCTCCTCGCGGCCAGCCTTCTCTCCCCTTCTGCAATTCAGCAATTGTACTCATTCATCGAGATCCAACAGTAACCCTCCCATTCCATGCGGTTTTCATGAACCACCCTCCTCCCCACATGGACGTGATCACCTACTCCAACTCCCGTGGCCCTTGCTTTTTTTCAGATACGGATAGTTTAATGTTAGGAAGACTTGAAAAATATAAAATGAGTCCCCTCTTTCTTTGAACTGTTAAAGATATAATAAAGCCTGTGCAATAAAATCCATTCACTCGACTTACACAGGCCTTCTCAGCCTCCCCCAAGGCATATTTACTCTCATTTTACAAAGCGAGTAAGCTATCTTGTTTCCCAGGCTTCAAGAGACAAGTTGAGTAAATTCAAGAAAGGCACACGTGGGTATGCTGCTAGAAGCACCCACTACCTAAAAACTAAGGGCAGTAATGTTGAAAACATGGCATTCTGGGGTCACTTGGCAAGACACTCACAAGTGCCAGTACATTATCACATACTTCAATCATCGTGCAAAATTCTTTCTTTCCCAAGAAAGGAATGTTGAATTCACTCTGCTTATGAGCACAAGAAAGTAAATAATTTTAGAAAGATTTCCATCCAAAATTGAGGAGAAAAATTTTAAATATCCAGGTCTTAAAAGTTATGAAGTTCAGTTACCAGGAAAAGTTATATATGGGGAACTGTTCATTCCCTCATCAAGCCCAGCCAACAGGATGATACACCATATCAACTCTCTCAGAAGAACTGCAGAATGTCCACTTGCTTATCTTTTTCATTTTTAACCTTCCAGACAACCTAACTAGTGTGACCCAAACAGCTATGAGGTCAGCCATCTTGAAACTATTAAATCTATTTTTACATAAATAATCCATTTTATATCAAAGCATTCAATGCATTGCAAAGAAAGACAATTCATTAACATTTCTCAAGTCTATCATGGAAGTATCAATAAATGAAGAAAATGATTATCACGTATGACATCGTGACATCTACTGGAATGCCTGGGCAGCTACTGGGTTTGTAGAATAGGGAAAAGAAAATCTCGGAGCTTCTCTGTAATGTTTAGCGAAGTTTCCAAACATCTGCCATAAAATGAGATGACACTGGCTACTGATAATTAACCAGGTCGGCAAAGCTGGGCACCATCCAAGGTAGCCAAGGAGTAAGGTCAGTAGCCTCCTTCCTTCTCCTGCCCTCCCCGTATGCACCAAGGAGCTCCCTTCCTAGAGACCTGTCATCAGCTATAGACGACATTCACATTGATCTTCCTAACACTCCAATGTACTCATGTGACCCCACCTCCACTCCCACCCCTATTTAGCATCTGCAGTGGTTCTCCAGCACTCAGAGGATGAAGCCAACCTCTGTAACATCACTGATGCCAGGCACTGGGGACATAGCCATCCACCCAGAGGAAAGTCCCTGCTCTCCTGGGGTCTTCATTCTAACAAGGGGGCCCGGGCAATAAACACACAAGCCTAAAACAGGTCAGGGCTAAGTGCTAGGAAGAATGCTAAAGCAGGGAAAGTAAATAAGAATGCTCCTAGTCAGAGAAGGCCTCTCACACGAGGGGAGCAAAGTCCTGAAGGCGACAGCATGACCCTACGACCTGCAGAGGCCTCCGGAAGTTGGCCCTGGGCTCCCTGGGCACGCTCCTCCCCTGCTTTCTCCCTCCTGCATGCGACTACTCCGGCCTCCCTGGGCTGGGGTTCCTTCTCCCAACACCCTGCTGCTTCACAGATGGGAGCCTCTGCATTCGCTCTCCTTCTGCCTGCGATGCCTACCACACTCCTCTCTGAGCCGGCAAATTCCTCCTGATCTTTCGAGATTCACTTGAAGCTTCTCTTCCTTTATGAGGCCGTCTCTGGACACCAGCCACCCAGCACCTCCCACCCCAGCCAAGTTCATCACCCGCTCCTTCCCGCCATCTGGACCAGGTATTTTGACTCGTGTCTCTGGCTCCTGAGTAAAAGGGAGCTACTTAAAGGCCAGAGGATGACACTCATCCCTGTATCCCCAGCACCTGGTCCTTCAAGACAGCTGTACCTTAAGGACTCAGGTAATGAATGAAAGGAATGTATGTCCTCTTTTCTACAATTTCCATCTTTGAAAAGATCTGCCCGTGAGGAAAGCATAAACCCATGGATGCCCTTTTATTTAAAACTCTCTTGGTAAAACTGACTTTTTTTTTTCCCCGAAAGCTGCACGTTTTAAAAGTCTTTTTGGGGTTTTCGTCCCATAAAATGATCTTGACACCTAGCCATGCGTCATGGCACATGAAGCAGCAAAACTCTGCAGTTGGAAAAACATTACACTGTGAAGGAAGAGCCCCTGTCTGCCAAGACACTTTACAAGGATTGCCAACGATGCAGTGAGAATGTGGTGTTGGACCCAATGAAAGCAGCTAATCCTCTCTTTTATAGCCTGGGATCCTTTTCACAAAACTTTCTTTTTTAGGAGGATAAATTGTTCAAAAATGGGGAGGAACACACACTCTTTTTTTTTTTTTTTTTTTTTTTTTTGGTTCTTCTTTTTGTACAATTAAACTCTGGACCTTTAACGACTCGGCCTACACCTTCTCCATCCTCATGCTACCCAAGCAGGTGAGAAGGAAAAAAAAAAAAAGGCAGAGAGCAGGACACAAGGCATATGGGTCTTGATAAAGAAGACAAATTCAGGGTAAAAAACTCTTCGTTCAGTGAAAATTCCTCTACCCTATTTTAGTTTCCATTGGGTTTTTAGGGTTGGGCAAATCAAAGTTTTAGAAAGGAGACCCTCCTGCTTCAACGTAAGGATGCTGGATTCAGAGCCAGATCTCACGAGGACCAGCCTAAGCCACACTGCCAGCTCTTCTGCTATTCTGCTCAAGCCCCGAGTGCAGCTCTGAAACTGAAGACCCTTTAAAAATAACAAAGGAAAACAACTCAGCGGCTCCATCCCAACTCAAGCACAAAAGAAAGAGGGGGAAGAAATCGTTTCCATATTTCACATAAACACAGATCTTACTGTGGCGGTGAGGAATGCATGAGTCAAACCGGGGCTGACAGAGATCACCACACAAATTGAGCCCCCTGCTAAAGATTAACACGGAGATGTACAACCCACAACTACAGCAACGACCATCCCTATTGTGAAAAGTTTGTGTTTATGTATTTCAAAATGGCTTTTTAAAAATTGAAGTGTCCTTTTCTGTGGAATTCTAACTTCCTCAGTCTAGAGGAAGCACCTGGAAGAGACTTTCAAATGTAAAACTTGTGCCAAAGTAATCTGAGATTCTGTACATGCAACTCACTGTAACTCTATATTGTTGGTTCCCCCCCCAGCCCCCAGACTCCTTCACTCTGTGGTTAAAATTAGTTCCGCCCTTGAACAGATCTGGGGTTTACTGCACTGCGGAGGTCAGGGTGTGGGAGCGACGGAGGCAAACAGATGGCAGAATGGCTGCAACTCCAGAAGGGTAATTTTTGGAGAAGTCAACTTTCTTTCTGTTGACTGTCAACAAAAGAAAGTTATCCCTGGTGAATGAGAACCAAGCACCAGAATGTCCGGGGCTGGGACCATCTCATTTCGGGACAGGGAATACGAAAGAAAAAGAAAGAAAGAAAGAAATCACCCAAGTACCATTTCCTAGGCCTTTCTGTAGCCCCTAACATGGGCTGGGCACTCACTCCCAGGGTCTGATTAATTCTCAGAAGGACCACATGATGGATTATGATCCCCGTTTTGCAGATGAGGAAGTAAGCTCTGAAGGGCTAAGTGTGCAAGGTTATCCCACCAGAGAAAGCACTGGAGTGAGAACTCGCACAGGCTTCTCTGCTCCGCCCCAGGCTGGCTCCACCTCCCCCCCCCCCCCCAGGTGACAGCATGGGAAGCTCCCGCCGCTCCGCGGCACATGGGATCCTCCCAGACCGGGGCACAAACCCGCGTCCCCTGCATCGGCAGGGGGGGGCCCCCCCCCCCCCCCCCCCCAGCAGGTGACAGCATGGGAAGCTCCCTTCCTGCAGTGTGACCTTCCCAGGCAAGTAATGCCCTCGAGTGTGGGAGGGTCTCAAGAGCAGGATGGATCCAGGGAAACAGAGCTGAGGACCTCACTGGTCCTCTACGTGATCAAACTGGCTGATGTTTAAGTGAAGAAAGGCAGTGGGTGAAAAAAAAACAAAACCAAATGTGTGAGCCTGTCCCTATTAGCCACGGTGACATGACACCACAGAGCTGGAAAGAGCAAGTTCACAGCCAACAGAAGAAATACCACATTCCCAGCCTCCTAATCTCCCACAAACCCCAACTTCCCTGAAAGCCGGATTAGAATAGTTCACTGCGCGTGTGCCATTTTATCTAGAGATTACGATTTCTTTATAAAGCCACGACATGGCCACACATCGTTGAGAAATTTGAAGGTCATTTTGATGCTTATTTGATAACAGTTCGTTCCGGTAAAAGATCTGAGGAACTTTCCCATGAAAGTCTATCTCTCCTCTAGAATTTCCCTCCTTAAGGCAGCAACTGGCCACGTGAAATGTAAGAGACCCGATGCCTTCAAGAGAAGAGAGGAGGAAAACAGGCACCCATTGCCATGTGTCCTCTATAATTACATCAGCTTTTGGGATTTTGGGATTTTATACATGCCTGCGTTGTTATTTTTAAAAGAGGCCTGATGACCAGATTCCGGCCACTTTCAAAGCACTGAAGAAAAAGAATGATAGCAGGTGGTTGGCAAACTGTCAAGCCAAGAAGGCGTCTTCCCCTTTTGTCTAAACAACGTGTACCGAGGTCATAACGACGGCATTCCAACAGCTCCTGGGACAAATGCTGTTGCACTTTAGGGAGCAGCCATAAATGCCCGTGGTCCACTTGGGTTTGGCAAGCTCAAATGTACAATTTTAGCAAGATGTCATCGACTGCTTCCCATGTCAGCAGCCCATGAATGTATCAAAACAATGACCTGTCCCATTTCCCCTTCCAAAGGGTTCCCCCTCATCAATTCTGGGTCCCACTTCTCTGGGTTAAAATTCAAAGTCTGCTTGTCCTTTGGGTCAACTTCTCTTAAACAAGCTTTGCAAGTTGATGAAGCAAGCTTTGGAGAAAGATTCAAGTCCCACATTCTCCTGATGCCTTAGTCGGAGATCTCAAAAGATTATATATCAGGCCACCTCTCACTTTAATATGATTCTGGCAAGAAAAGACTGAAGGTGTGCTTGAAGCAGAGCTGGTGTCACAGTAATAAACTCTCAGAGCAAGAGATCAGTTCTCTCTTGTCCAGCTGATCCAAGATATTTTGCCAGGTGCCAGCCAGTCTGCCGTAAAACATCCTGAATCCTTGTTCGGTACCCATGTGGGTAAACCATCACACCCTCCTGTTCCTAAGAGGCACCCATATTTCCATACAGCCATTCCTAAATTACTGACAAAGTTAATTAAGTTTGATTGTATAAAATATTACTTCCGCAGTGGTTGAGGATTATCTAAATAGAGTGATGTGGAAAGACCTTTAAGACAGTATGAAACTTAAGAAACTTTGGATCATATTCAAGCTACATGTGAATCCATTTATGTAAATGAAAATAATTATACATTAATCTGTATAAACATGTATGCAAATGTCTAGGAAGGATTCTGGAAGGTGCTCATGCCCAACTCTGAAAAAAGTAAAGGGTTTAAATGAGATATCATCTCACACCAGTCAGAATGGCCATCATCAAAAAATCTAGAAATGCTGGAGAGGTTGTGGAGAAAAGGGAACGCTCTTGCACTGTTGGTGGGAATGTAAAATGATACAGCCACTATGGAGAACAGTATGGCGGTTCCTTAAAAAACTAAAAATAGAACTACCATACGACCCGGCAATCCCACTACTGGGCATATACCCCGAGAAAACCATAATTCAACAAGAGTCATGTACCAAAATGTTCACTGCAGCTCTCTTTACAATAGCTAGGACATGGAAGCAACCTAAGTATCCATCATCGATGAATGGATAAAGAAGATGTGGCACATATATACAATGGAATATTACTCAGCCATAAAAGGAAACGAAATTGAGATATTTGTAGCGAGGTGGATGGACCTAGAGTCTGTCATACAGAGTGAAGTAAGTCAGAAAGAGAAAAACAAAAACCATATGCTAACAAATATATATGGAATCTAAGAAAAAAAAAAAGGTCATGAAGAACATAGGGGTAAGATGGGAATAAAGACACAGACCTACTAGAGAATGGACTTGAGGATATGGGGAGGGGGGAAGGGTAAGCTGGGACAAAGCGAGAGAGAGGCATGGACATATATACACTACCAAACGTAAAATAGATAGCTAGTGGGAAGCAGCCGCATAGCACAGGGAGATCAGCTCGATGCTTTGGGACCGCCTAGAGGGGTGGGATAGGGAGGGTGGGAGGGAGGGAGATGCAAGAGGAAAGAGATATGGGAACATATGTATATGTATAACTGATTCCCTTTGTTATAAAGCAGAAACTAACACACCATTTTAAGCAATTATACTCCAATAAAGATGTTAAAAAATTCAATAAATAA